GAAAAGAAAATAACTTCTTGAAATTTCCACTTCATCTTTTCTTTACTAAATAATTTTGTTCGTTTACTCTATATAATATTTATCGAAACACATGACAAACGAAGCATCAATAGCGTATCCAGTGTCACTCTAATTTGAGCCTCAGTTGTAAGTTATTCCCAAGCGAAAGTGACGCCACGCTGCGCGTGCGCAAAGAGACACGTGACCAACCGAGCGGACCAATGAATCGCCTTTCCGCTGAACAACAATTCGTCATTGGATATCGCACTGAACTAACAGAATTTCTCAACAGAACTTTTCACTTATCTTTTCTACTAAAACACAGATTAGTAGTTAGATTACAATAATCCACCGCAATATTTCCGACATATAAAAGCAGCCCTACGCATTTTACACATTTTGAAGTATTCCAAGGGTGCGAAGATCAATGCTTAAACGATTGATACCATCTACCTCAGCCATCGTACGCAGCTAAAGAAACGAAACCAAACGCGAGCCTCGAGATTCGAAAATTGTCTAGTTCCTCCCCAAAATTCCTCCAAATTTTTGGATCGCGTAGGGCGACGGTACACGCAACGAGCATGCTCGGTTGCATCAGAAAACCGCCGAATTATGGCTGTTGTTGCAAAAAAAGTTGAAGAAAGTGTATAATCTTGTCGAGGCTGGAGGGAGGCCATTGCCGATACCGCAAAGCGTTCGGCATGGGACACGGATTGTTAACGGCGTTCGTCGGGTAAACAAATCTAGAGTGATGCCCATCGGTGGCGGCGGCGGCGGCAACGCTCGGGACTCGTGACCCCCGTGACATTAAGGTCGAGCTCTAATCGAGTGAGCCCACACTCCGCTCGAGCCGGCGGCAGCGATCCGAGCCCGCGCTCGCGGGAGCGTTGCGTATCGCACACGTGTATAGCGAGCGAGAACTTCTTCATTTCGACGGGCGAGCGCCAATCGTCGCGCGTCTTTCACCGGCGAATCCGACGTAGCCGGTTTCCTTATCGTGGCGGCACTGCCTAAAGGCGGATACGCAACGCGGGGCGAATTGAGCGGGCCACAGCAAAAAGGAATGTAAAAATCGGAGTACGGATCACGTGCAACCTTCCGATTCCAGAAATTTTGGCCAGATGTTTGGGAGATGAAATAGAAAGGGTAATTTGGGCAAAGTGGTTGATCAGTGGAATGAATGCTTTTAATACCGTCTGAGAATCTGATTATCAGACCATTAATGGTTAACAGAACAGTCAAGAGTTGGAAATGTGGAAGAAGGTGGATTGTAACTTTGTAAATCGGTTAGAAGGAACATTTAAGCAGACGTTGTACCCTGTAACCTCTGTCGTGCGTCGTCAAAATGCAGTAGTTCGACTGGCGCTGACTCATTTCACGTGAGACGAAAACATGTGATGAGCGCGCTTCGCGGAACCGGGCTCGAATGCAAATGGTTCAACCATAAACTCGTTCATAAAGGTACTTGGGAATCGTGTGTACTCGACATTAGAACTGCGAAAATTTCGTCTTACGTACAGTGGCATGCAAAAGTTCCCTGGCAAACGGAGCTTTCACTTTGTACTCTAGAAATAATGAAAGGTTTCTAACAAATAACTGTATAGATAATAACGGATACCTTCGACATTGATTGAAATTGATTTCAAACAACATTTCTGAAATACCAAGAAACCTTCTCGGCTGAAACTTTTACTCGCCGCTAGAGAATTCTTTCGTCCGCTCACGA